TGTAATTTTTGAGTTTTTTAATACTGGTAGACAAATTTTGTTCATGTTCATGCTAATCAAGGTGGTCAGGTGAAACATTCCCACCTAGCTCCAGCAGACAAGAGTCCTTTGTCCCACCCGGGATATTATTCCACAGATATATAAACCCCTTTTTCCTACTTCCAACAGACCTCACTACCTCTGAGGATGCTTGCCATAGATGCAGGCGAAACGTCAGGAGAAAAATTGCCTCCAGAACATGGCCATATAGCCCGGAAAAACCTACAACAACCCAATAATAATAATAATAATAATAATAATAATAATAATAATAATAGCATTTTCTACTGGCGTTTCACCTGCGGATACAAGACCCTTGGGTGATTTCCTTTTGTCCATCTCCTGTAGGAGTGGTGTTCCAAGGCACGATCATAACAGTGAGCTCCCGCCTGTAGCCTTGCCTTTGCTGTGCTGTCCTCCGCACCAGGTGCCCAGTGTTCCTCCAGCCAAGGTGCCTCCGGATGTCTCCCGCCCTCCTTCCCTCCCTGATGATTCGTGGGCCTTCCTTTTGGACTCACCACCGCACCTCCATTGTTGTGCAAGTGGGCAGGGGTTGCAAAGGTGCCCCTTAATGAGGATGGAGTCCGCCCAGTGCTCAGGCCGGGCGCAAGGAGAGCCATGCCCTGCCCCGCTTCTTCAACGAGGCTCCCCCCCCCCCCCCCCCCCCCCCCCCCCCCCCCACCCACCGCTGGCTCCTGACCCATTTCTTCCCTTCTTCCCTTCTTCCCATTCTCCCGGTTGCCTGGCAACGGATCCTGCACTCTTGCAAAGGGCTCGGTTTCAAAGGCGCCCGCTTGGGCATCGTCAGCCAGCCAGTTCCGGACGGGCTTTTTCCGCTCTCAAGGAGGGTGGGCTGCCATGGCCGGGATCCGTGGCAGCCATGAGTCACCGCTCCTGTTGCGTGCCAGGCCTGCCCTTCGCCCCTTGGCAGCCCTGCGCTCCCTTTATTGTTATGGTTGGGCCGCTGTGAGTTTTCTGGGTTGTGTGGCCGAGTCCCTGCAGCATGCCCTCCTGACATTTCGCCTGCATCTGTGTGCATCACTCGCTTTGAGTCCCCTTTCAGGAGATAGACCGGGCTATAAATAAACATAATAAACATAATAATTATAATTATAATTATAATCCAATACAACAGCCAGCAGAGTTACTTTGTTTGCTGTGGACTCATCTTGTTGTGTTATAATAATAATAATAATAATAATAATAATAATAATCCAATACAAAAGCCAGCAGAGTGACCTTGTTTGCTGTGGACTCATCTTGTTGTGTTTATAATAATAATAATAATAATAATAATAATAATAATAATAATAATAATAATCCAATGCAACAGCCAGCAGAGTGATCTTGTTTGCTGATAACAATGTGTAATAAATAATAATAATAATAATAATAATAATAATAATAATAATAATAATCCAATACAACAGCCAGCAGAGTGACCTTGTTTGCTGTGGACTCATCTTGTTGTGTTTATAATAGCAATAACAATAATGATAATAATAATAATAATAATAATAATAATAATAATAATAATAATAATGGCATCTTCAGAGGTTCTGTTGGAAATGAGGCAAGCATAGTGTGGATATCCCTGTGAAATAATGTCCAGGGTGGGAGAAAGAACCCTGGTCTGTGAATGTTGTAATTGGCAAGCTCAAATAGCATGGAGTAGCCACAAAACTGCAGAGTCAATCAGGTAGGGTGTCTGCATAGAGGTAGCCTGGCTGTTGTTGCCTGGAGGCACCCTCTACTTGGGAGCCGTTGACAGGCACTTGATCTGGGGTTCCTCTGTTTCTGAGTGGTGTTCTTTATTTCCAGTCTTCATTCTGATGTTTTCCAATACTAGTGCCCAGATTTTGTTCATTTTCGTGGTTTCCTCCTTTCTGTTGACATAATCCACCTGCTTCTTGTGAATTTCAGTGGCTTCTCTGTGTAGTCTGGCATGATGGTTGTTGGAGTGAGTGTCCAGCATTTCTGTGTTCTTAAATAATAATATTCTGTGACCAGGTTGAATGAGCTGGCAGTGCCTTTCGTGTTCTTAGTAAACATTAAATAAGTAACATTTATTTATCATGTCAGGCAACCAAACAGTTGTATTACATTTTTGACAGAACAAACAAACAAACATACAAAAGACACAGAGTTTGCAAGCTTGGTATGTCCTTTGACCAGTGTCTGGCCCCTTGGAGTGCTTCTGATGTTGCTGCAAGAAGGTCCTCCCTTGTGCATCATGTGGAAGAAGGGCTCAGGGTGCATTGCAGCAGGTGGTCAGTGGTTGGCTCTTCTCTGCACTCGCATGTCGTGGACTCCACTTTGTGGCCCCATTTCTGAAGGTTGGCTCTGCATCTCGTGGGGCCAGAACCTTCCAAGTCGCCCAGCCTTCTGTGTGCTCAGGGGGGAGTCTCTCATTGGGTATCAGCCATTGGTTTGAGCTTTGATGGCTTTGAAAGGCAGCAGATCACAGGAGCTGTCTTCAGAGACCTGTCAGCAGCCTATGAGACTGTGAACCACCGCTGCCTCCTCCTGAGAAAAATGTTTAATATCTCAAAGGACGACCACCTCACCTGCCTCATAGGAAACCTGCTACAAAACAGGAGCTTCTTTGTGGAGTTCCAGGGCCAGAGAAGCCGATGGCGGAAACAGAAGAACGGCCTGCCTCAGGGGAGCGTGCTTGCTCCATCCATGTTCAACATCTACACAAATGACCAGCCACTGCCAGAAGGGACAGAGAGATTCATCTATGCTGATGATCGTGCCATTACTGCTCAAGCAGGGGGCTTTGAGATGGTAGAACAGAATCTCTCTGAAGCTCTAGGTGCTCTTACTGCCTATTACAGGGAAAACCAACTGATCCCTAATCCATCTAAAACACAGACATGCGCCTTTCACCTTAAGAACAGACAAGCATCCCGAGCTCTGAGGATTACCTGGGAAGGAATCCCACTGGAGCATTGCAGCGCACCCAAATACCTGGGAGTCACTCTGGACCGTGCTCTGACCTACAAGAAGCACTGCCTGAACATCAAGCAAAAAGTGGGTGCTAGAAACAACATCATACGAAAGCTGACTGGCACAACCTGGGGATCACAACCAGATACAGTGAAGACATCTGCCCTTGCGCTATGCTACTCTGCTGCTGAGTATGCATGCCCAGTGTGGAACACATCTCACCACACTAAAACAGTGGATGTGGCTCTTAATGAGACATGCCGCATTATCACGGGGTGTCTGCGCCCTACACCACTGGAGAAATTACACTGCTTAGCCGGTATTGCACCACCTGACATCCGCCGGGAAGTAGCAGCCAATAGTGAAAGGACCAAGTCAGAGACATCTCCAGCTCATCCCCTGTTTGGGTATCAGCCAGCACGTCAACGACTTAAATCTAGACATCGTTTTCTAAGATCTACAGAGACACTCGCTGGAACACCTCAGCAAGCGAGAGTCCAAAAGTGGCAGGCTCAAACCCAGCACCTCAACCAATGGCTGATACCAAATGAGAGACTCCCCCCTGGGCACACAGAAGACTGGGCGACTTGGAAGGCACTGAACAGACTGCGCTCTGGCACCACGAGATGCAGAGCCAATCTTAAGAAATGGGGCTACAGGGTGGAATCCTTGGCATGCGAGTGCGGAGAAGAACAAACCACTGACCACCTGCTGCAATGCACCCTGAGCCCTGCCACATGCACCATGGAGGACCTTCTTGCGGCAACCCCAGAGGCACTCCAAGTGGCCAGATACTGGTCAAAGGACATTTAACCAAATACCAAATTTGCAAAATCTGTGTGGTTTTCTTTCTTTCTTTTTTTCTTTTTCTTTTTAATCTCTGTGTTTGTTTTGCTCTGTTAGAATTGTAATACAATGGTTGCTAATGACACGATAAATAAATATTGGTTTGAGCCTGCCACTTTTGGACTCTCGCTTGCTGAGGTGTTCCAGCGAGTGTCTCTGTAGATCTTAGAAAACTATTTCATGATTTAAGTCGTTGATGTGCTGGCTGATACCCAAACAGGGATGAGCTGGAGATGTCTCTGCCTTGGTCCTTTCACTATTGGCTGCTACTTCCCGGCGGATGTCAGGTGGTGCAATACCGGCTAAGCAGTGTAATTTCTCCAGTGGTGTAGGGCGCAGACACCCCGTGATAATGTGGCATGTCTCATTAAGAGCCACATCCACTGTTTTAGTGTGGTGAGATGTGTTCCACACTGGGCATGCATACTCAGCAGCAGAGTAGCACAGCGCAAGGGCAGATGTCTTCACTGTGTCTGGTTGTGATCCCCAGGTTGTGCCAGTCAGCTTTCGTATGATATTGTTTCTAGCACCCACTTTTTGCTTGATGTTCAGGCAGTGCTTCTTGTAGGTCAGAGCACGGTCCAGAGTGACTCCTCCCAGGTATTTGGGTGCGCTGCAATGCTCCCGTGGGATTCCTTCCTTCCCAGGTAATAATCCTCAGAGCTTGGGATGCGCTGAGGATGACTTGGGAATAAGTAACAGTAAACAAGGAATGCCACTCCAGGCAGCACACCCCTTGTAACTTCGATGCATGGATCCACCTCCTGCCCGTTGGAGCAGCAGGAAGCAGACGGGCTGCCTGGGAGTCCGGTGGAGGCGTCTCCTTTCTCTGGAGGTCTGAAAGCAGAGGCTGGGTATGGGCGTCTGCAAGGAGGGCTTGGATGGTGCCCTCCTGCCAGGTAGAATGAGGCTGGACTGGGTGGCCTTGGGGTCCCGTCCACCTCTGGGCCTCCATGGTTCCCTCTTCCACATGAAAACACGAATTGTGGAGAGTCTGTGTGTGAGAGACGTGTGGGGGCTCACCCATTGCCCCCCAGTGGGCCTCCTTCAGGTGTGGCCAGGATTCCTCCTCCCTGCTGACGGGGCTGATGGGACCTGCCACTCACCCTCCCGCCATTCCCGCCCGGCCTGTGACCCTTTCCCCCGATCGTCCTTCTCCGCAGCGAGTGCCACAACTCCTCCGACCGCATCAAGGTCCGTGTCTGGGACGAGGACGACGACATCAAGTCCCGGGTGAAGCAGCGGCTGAAGCGCGAGTCGGACGACTTCCTGGGGCAGACCATCATCGAGGTGCGCACGCTGAGCGGAGAGATGGACGTCTGGTACAACCTGGGTGAGTCCTGCCCGGGGGCTCCGGGGTCCCGGCGGAGTGGGTGGGGGTGGCGGTGGGGCAGGGCTGGAGGGGCAACGGTCAGCCAGGCGGTCAGTCAGCCAGACGCCTTCTTCCTTGTGATGCTTCCTCCCCGCAGAGAAACGGACGGACAAGTCTGCCGTGTCGGGGGCCATCCGGCTGCAGATCAACGTGGAGATCAAGGGGGAGGAGAAGGTGGCGCCCTACCACGTCCAGTACACCTGCCTCCACGAGGTACGACACTGCAGCAGGGAAGGCCCACCTCCGCTGCCGGGCTCCTCACCTGGCATTGAAAGGGGTTCCAAACTGCATGAATTCCACAGTGTAGATGCCCCCTAGAAGCATCGTTATCCAAGGGCCCCAGATCTCTCTCTCCGTTTTCTAATCCATCCGGGGAACGGTCTCAAGCTGGGCCTCGGGGCCCGCGTTCTCTGCTCCAGATCCCAAGGAAGGGAGAAGCACTCCTCCCAGAGCGAGAGCGCCATCTTGAAAATGGCACCCTCTTTGCGTCCTTGGCCCCTCTTGTTGGGCGAGAGTGGGCTTATGAACAGAAGGCCCTCCCCATTAACACATTGCAAAGCAGCAGCTGACCCAGCACACCAGGAGCACCACGTGATAAAGAGAACACAAACACACAGACCAAGGGTCTCCCTTCCAAAAGAGGCTTTTCTATGTAGCAAAATAATATGGTTGCAAGAACTAGGTTTCCATAACACAAATAAACAAATACATAGTAGCTTTACACACAGCAGCCTTCACACTGGAGCTTTCTCACACGAGGCTTCTCTCACACAGAGGTCTACATTACTCTCCTCAGCTTTGGTGCAATGACTCTTAACAGGCGTCGGCCTACTCACTCCTTCAGTGTTTGACTCCCACTTTTGAAATCCAAAATACCCAGTTAATTTTTAATGTTTCTGACAGTCCTTACGTTTCTTGTATGTTATGTTTCTTCATGCTCTTATCAGCTCGGTACACAAGGCTTCTCTCACACAGAGGTCCACCTCACATTCCCCAGGATGACACTAGCTTTGGCCCACTGACTCTAACAGGCTTCAGCCTACTCACTCTCCTCAGGATGACACTAGCTTAGGCCCACTAACTCTTATCAGCTCAGTAAACAAGGCTTCTCTCACATAGAGGTCCACCTCACATTCCTCAGGATGACACTAGCTTTGGCCCACTGACTCTAATAGGCTTCGGCCTACTCACTCTCCTCAGGATGACACTAGCTTTGGCGCAATGACTCTTATCAGCTCAGTACACAAGGATTCTCTCACACAGAGGTCCATCTCACATTCCGCAGGATGACACTAGCTTTGTTCCACTGGCTCTAACAGGCTTCGGCCTACTCACTCTCCTCAGGATGACACTAGCTTTGGCCCACTAACTCTTATCAGCTCAGTACACAAGGATTCTCTCACACAGACGTCCACTTCACATTCCTCAGAATGACACTAGCTTTGGTTCACTGACTGTAACAGGTTTCAGCCTACTCACTCTCCTCAGGATGACACTAGCTTAGGCCCACTAACTCTTATCAGCTCAGTAAACAAGGCTTCTCTCACACAGAGGTCCACCTCGCATTCCTCAGGATGACACTAGCTTTGGTTCACTGACTCTAACAGGCTTCGGCCTACTCACTCTCCTCAGGATGACACTAGCTTTGGCCCACTAACTCTTATCAGCTCAGTGCACAAGGCTTCTCTCACACAAAGGTCCATCTCACATTCCTCAGGATGACACTAGCTTTGTTCCACTGGCTTTAACAGGCTTCGGCCTACTCACTCTCCTCAGGATGACACTAGCTTTGGCCCACTAACTCTTATCACCTCAGTGCACAAGGCTTCTCTCACACAGAGGTCCATCTCACATTCCTCAGAATGACACTAGCTTTGTTCCACTGACTCTAACAGGATTCAGCCTACTCACTCTCCTCAGGATGACACTAGCTTTGGCGCAATGACTCTTATCAGCTCAGTACACAAGGATTCTCTCACACAGAGGTCCACCTCACATTCCCCAGGATGACACTAGCTTTGGCCCACTGACTCTAACAGGCTTCAGCCTACTCACTCTCCTCAGGATGACACTAGCTTTGGCCCACTAACTCTTATCAGCTCAGTGCACAAGGCTTCTCTCACACAAAGATCCATCTCACATTCCTCAGGATGACACTAGCTTTGCTTCACTGGCTCTAACAGGATTCAGCCTACTCACTCTCCTCAGGATGACACTAGCTTTGGCCCACTAACTTTTATCAGCTCAGTACACAAGGCTTCTCTCACACAAAGGTCCATCTCACATTCCTCAGGATGACACTAGCTTTGTTCCACTGGCTCTAACAGGCTTCGGCCTACTCACTCTCCTCAGGACAACACTAGCTTTGGCCCACTGACTCTTAACAGGCTTCGGCCTACTCACTCTCCTCAGGACAACACTAGCTTTGGCCCACTGACTCTAACAGGCTTCAGCCTACTCACTCCTTCAGTGTTTGACTTCCACTTTTGTAATAAAAAATACCCAGTTAATTTTTAATATTTCTGACAGTCCTTACATTTCTTGGATGTTATGTTTCTTCGCACTCTTATTAGCTCGGTACACAAGTCTTCTCTCACACAGAGGTCCACCTCACATTCCTCAGGATGACACTAGCTTTGGTTTACTGACCCTAACAGGCTTCGGCCTACTCCCTCTCCTCAGGATGACACTAGTTTAGGCCCACTAACTCTTATCAGCTCACATTCCTCAGGATGACACTAGCTTTGGTTCACTGACTCTTAACAGGCTTCGGCCTACTCACTCTCCTCAGGATGACACTAGCTTTGGCCCACTAACTCTTATCAGCTCAGTGCACAAGGCTTCTCTCACACAAAGATCCACCTCACATTCCTCAGGATGACACTAGCTTTGGTCCACTGGCTCTAACAGGCTTCGGCCTACTCACTCTCCTCAGGATGACACTAGCTATGTCCCACTGACTCTAAAGGCTTTGGCCTACTCACTCTCTAACATAGGCAAAGCGTGGATAGATGCCTGATCTATCCACACTAAACTGTTGAGTGAAGAGGAACCATTGGCATGTCCTTTCTCATGGAGGAACACCCTTGTAGTCCAAAAAGGCAGTGGTGGGGATTTGGCCCCGTCTTTGCTGGAGGAACACAATGGAGGGGCCGCAGCCTTCCTCAGAGTTAGTGCGAGGTGTCTGTGGGCCTGACCTCCGTCCGTCCCTCCGTCCCTCCCCGGCAGAACCTCTTCCACCACCTGACGGACGTCCAGGGCAGCGGCGTGGTGAGGATCCCGGAGGCCAAGGGGGACGACGCCTGGAAGGTCTACTTTGACGAAACGGGGCAGGAGATCGTGGACGAGTTCGCCATGCGCTACGGCATCGAGTCCATCTACCAGGCCATGACGTGAGTCCCGCAGCAACGGAGGGGGGGGGGGAGGAGAGGGGAGGGGGGGCCCTTGCCAGCCCCCCCCCCCCACGGCCCCTCCGTTGCGTGGATCCATCCGCAGAGTGGGGGTCCCATGGGATTAGAAAGAGAGGCTGCTGCAAAGCCCTCTGGGCGGATCCTGCTTGCCATCCTCAGGAAGGAAGGAAGGAAGCAGGCTCATTTGCATATTCTCATTTAATTGCTCTCATTAAAGTGCAAAAAGGAGAACCGGGGGAAACGCAGAGCACGCTCCCTGAAATGATTCCAGCCGCACTTGTGCTTGTTGGGTGATTAAAGTAAACAATCAAAGGGAGAAATGGCTGTAAATACGGAGAAACGGGGGGGCTTGAAAGGGGTTCGCGTTGCACGACGACGACGACGTCAAGGCAGGAGAGGAGTCCCTCTAATTAAGAGCGAAGGGGTGCAAATGGGAAAGGGGGGTGGGCCTTGTCTATGTCTGCATTGGAAATATATTGGAAATTCCACAACCTATTGGAAATAACTGCACCACAACCCCATTGAACAGGTAAAAATGATGCCACATCTGTTTGGCAAATGTGAATCTCCATAAACATTTCAAAAGCATGACCTTGTTAGAAGCCACAAGCATTCATGTAATCATGGCACACAGGTAACTCAGCTGTTAGACTGAAGAACCATGTCTTTGAACTGCCAAGGATAAAGGCATGCCGTTGCACAAAAAGGTATCGGGTTAGAAAAGGATGGTTGGCTCTTGGCAGTTGAATTTGCAGGTGCCCAAAAGAGATCCATTGCCTTGAAACCTCTTAGAGGTGGGAGAGACCTGGTGGGCCATCATCCAGTCCAACCCCATTCTGCCAAGAAGCAGGAATATTGCATTCAAAGCAACCCCGACAGATGACCATCCAGTCTGAGTTTAAAATAGGCACTTAGAGATAAAATAAAATAAAAGTCTTCTTTGAAAATAACGTATCTTGTTTACTCATAAACATATTGTATTAATTCATCATATAACTATGCGAGAGGAAGCCACAGGGAGGAGGAGGAGGAGGAGGAGGGAGCACGCTTCCTTTCTGCTTCCCTGGAGAGAGACCAGGACGCAAGGGAGAAATGGCTTCAAACGACAAGAGAGGAGATTCCACCTGAACATGAGGAAGAACTTCCTGACGGTGAGAGCCGTTCAGCTGTGGAACTCTCTGCCCCAGAGGGAGTGTGGTGGAGGCTCCTTCTTTTGGAAGCATTGAAATAGAGGCTGGATGGCCATCTGTCAGGGGTGATCTGAATGCAATATTCCTGCTTCTTGGCAGAATGGGGTTCAACTGGATTATGGCCCATGAGGTTTCTTTCAACTCTATGATTCTATGATTCTTGCTGATCCAGGCAACATCCTTGCAGATGGCCAATTCTCTCACACCAGAAACGACTTGCAGTTTTTCAAGTCGCTTCTGACAGGAAAAAAACAAACAAACATATAGGCACATTTCTTATTAAAGTTCAGTTATGAATAGAATGTAGTTCTTCTCTGGAGACAATTCTTACTCAATCGTCCATAGTCTTTACGTATAATTATTTAATTTCTTTATTTAAAGCATGTATATTCCACCCTTCTCACTCCAACTCAGGGGACTCGGGGCGGAGCACTACATATAAACGGCAAACGTTCAGTGCCGAAACATACTAGGCCATACACACACAAAAACATTAAAATCACTTGTCTTGTAATTGTACTTATTTATTTATTTCATGCCCAAAGCATTGCATAAATTAGTATAAAATGGATACAAATGGAAAGAGCACAAGCAGCTAACTATATTTTGATCAAAAACGGGCAACAGCAACGGCATTGTCTGCAGCCTCCAACCATTCTTCCTCTGTACGTGAGGCAGGGCATAGCGGGCAAGCATACAGGTGCGGAGTTGTATGTTCTGCTCCACGGTCACACAAGGTGGGGATTCTTTTAGGCGTGTCGCGTGTGCCCTTGTCTTCCTCCTTTCCCTGGGACTGACGGAGCGTTCCCACATTGTCTGCTCTCCTCCTCCTCCTCCTTCTCCCTCAGGCACTTTGCGTGCCTCTCCTCCAAGTACATGTGCCCGGGGGTCCCGGCCGTGATGAGCACCTTGCTGGCCAACATCAACGCCTACTACGCCCACACCTCCGCCTCCACCAACGTCTCCGCCTCCGACCGCTTCTCTGCTTCCAACTTCGGGGTGAGTGACCCTCAGCGGATGGACGCTGCCCCTTCATCCTCCGCTCTGGACCCCCTTCTGCAGCCCTTGGGTCAGGAGAAGCCTGCCTGCTCCCTGCCGGACGACTCCAGGCTCTAGTGCAGGCCTGGCCCAACGTTGGCCCTCTCGCCAAGTGTTTTGGACTCCCACTCCCACCATTCCTCACAGCCCCAAGCCCTGTTCTTTTCCTTTTCCCTTTCCTTTTCCGCTCAAGCGGCTGAGGGGGAGTGCGTTTGACCATTATCAACTATGATCGTTTGCAGCGGGGGTGTAGGCTA